ACCCAACTCACTTCCTTTCTTTTCTTTCTTTTATTAGATTTATATACTGCCCTACTCCCAAAGGACTCAGGGCGGTGAACAGGCAGAAAAATAAAATACATAAATACAAAAATTTAAAAGCAAAAATAAAACCAGATTAAACAATTTAGCCCAAGACAAAATTAAAACATCCCAATAATTTAAAAACAGATTTAAAATTTTCAATTTAAAAGAAAAGGGGGGAAAAGGTTAGGCCAGGCCAGCTTGCTGGAATAGGAAGGTCTTAAGAGCGCGGCGGAAAGTGCGCAGATCCGGGATCCTCCGTATCTCCGGGGGGAGCTCGTTCCAGATAGTGGGTGCCCCCACAGAGAAGGCCCTCCCCCTGGGGGCCGCCAGTCGACACTGTTTGGCTGACGGCACCCTGAGGAGCCCCTCTCTATGAGAGCATACCGGGCAGTGGGAGGCTATTTGTGGTAGTAGGCGGAGTCACTCACGGTGACTCCGAACAGCTTCTAGAAATAAAACCGAGTTCAAAACCCAATGAGCCCCATCTACTCCCTCTGGCAACAGCAATCAAACCAACCAGGGTGTTATGTATGTATCTATTTTGTGCAGGAAATTCAAATGCAGCAATGCTTGTGATTGGTTAACGGGTATTTCAGAACTGTATATAAAGAGGGCTGTTGCCTGTGTTTCTTTGCTGAAGTCTCACCCTGAATTAAAGAGCTGTTGTCACTAGCTTGCTTGTGCCTCTCGTTATTCCCGCGCTATAACATTGGCGATGAAGGTGGGATTGAGGCCACAAGAAGCAAATCAAAAAGAGCTCTGAGTTTCAGCCAGGGTGAGGAGCGGTCTACGGAGACATATTGCGATGTCTGCCTACGTTCCGCCAAAACCCTTTGATCCGACCTGAGAGAATGGGGGTCGTATCTGACCAGGTTCGAGTGTTCCCTGGAAGCAAGTGAGATGCAAGGGCTCTCTGCAAATTGAAAAAGAGCCCTCTTCCCTCTTCTTGAGCCACTGTGGGCCAGACGTTTTCAAGATGGCCAAGTCCCTGGCTCGCAGACAGGGACATCTTACAAGTAAACCTGAGAGCCCACTATGCTCCCGTTCCTTCGAAGTTTGTACAACGCTATGAGCTCCGGCAACGAGTACAAAGAGAAGGAGAACCGGTCAGCGCATATGTGGCTGCCCTTCGAAAAGCCACAACGCATTGCGACTACCGGGATCTAGACGACGCGCTCCTTGAACAGTTGATTTCTGGCGTGAGAGACACTCGATTACAGAGGCGCCTGCTAGCAAAGCCAGATTTGACATTAGCCGGCGCATTAGATGAAGCAAGAGTGCACGAAGCGTCCACTAAGGCTTCTGAAGCGCTACAATGTCCACAGCCGAGCAAAGATGGCCCAAAGTCAGCACCTGTTCATTGAGAGGAGGCGCGAACCAGTACAGAGGAAGAGTCAGACGAGGACGTCTTCCACACTGACAAAAAGAAGGGCGAGCAAAGTCGTCGCAGAGAAAACTGCTCGAGCTGTGGTGGAGCTCACAAGAGACAATCCTGCAAATACCGAGACGTCATTTGTATGCGTTGTGAAAAAAAGGGCCACCTGGCTAGAATCTGTAGAGCTCAATTTTCTTGAAATAACAAGTCACGTGACTATCTCGACCAACCAGAACCGACACGTTCAAACCAGCCAACCAGAGATGGCAGCGTGAGAAAACGGCATGAGAATCAAAAACGAGAGACCTACAGCACGAGAATCGGCCAAGCCAGCATGTCTGTAGAGGAAAAGGTCTACACGAGAGTAGAGATTGAAGGGAGACCATGTGACATGGAAATCGACATCGGGTCTGCCCTATCAATCATGTCCTGGACAACGCTTAAATCGCTTCTACCGAAGTTCCAGAGAAACCAGCTTGCACGGCAACGAGTTCGCCTCCTCGACTACCAAGGAAACCGAGTTCCTGTGGAAGGCATGGGCACGTTCCGGGTCGCCTACGGCAAGTTCCAGAAAGAGCTTCCCCTGACCATCGTCAGCAAGTCGCTGCCAAGTTTCCTGGGCCTAGCTTGGTTCCGAGCCCTCGGCATGGGCTTCACGGGCATCCACAGCATCGGCGGACCGTCCCTAAAGGAAAGCCTTCTGCACGAGTTCCAGGACGTTTTTGAAGAGATGCTAGGCAAGTACATGGGGACCCCTATCTCTTTTAATTTAGACCCTAATGTAGCTCAGATTAGGTTAAAGGCAAGACGGGTACCATTTGCCCTAAAACCAAAAATAGACGCAGAACTTGACAAACTGATCAAACAAGGGGTGCTAGTCCCTGTAGATCACGCTAAGTGGGAAACCCCTATAGTCATGCCAGTAAAGTCAGAGGGATCAATCAGAATCTGCGCTGATTATAAATGCATGATCAATAAGGCGTTGCAACAGAGCGCCTATCTCGTTCCGATCGTCCACCATCTACTTCACTCCCTGGGCTCTGGCAAGATATTTGCTAAGTTAGACCTTGCACAGGCGTACCAGCAGCTGCCGGTAGATGATGCTACGGCAGAATCACAAACTATAGTAACGCACAGAGGTGCGTTCAAATGCACTAGACTGCAGTTTGGGGTTAGCATTGCCCCAGGGCTTTTCCAAAGCACTATGGAGCGCCTTCTACAAGGACTCCCAGGGGTTGTCCCCTATTTTGATGATGTCTTCATTAGTGGCCAGAATGAGGCGCAGCTTGGAGATAGAGTTAAACAAGTGCTAACCAGGTTTAGAGAAACGGGACTTAAACTCAAAAAGTCTAAATGTAAAATTGCGGTACCCTCGGTAGAATTTTTGGGCTACCGAATCGACGGCACAGTTGGTGAGCTCTGTATGGGTCTGGGGTCCCCAGGCCCACTGGCAGAACCTCGTCTTCAGAGCTTTTTGGAAGGGTGTCAAGGGGAGGACCAGTCTTATCTCTGCAGGGAGGATGTTCCGCAAAGAAGGCCCTTCTTCTCAGTCCCACCAGATGGACCTCCTCAAGAGAGGGGACCCATAACACCCCTGCCTGCCTGCTCTGGTGGGTCAGCTGGATGCAACTGGGAAAAGACCCTCCTTCGGATAACCCCAGGCCACCAAGGGCTTTAAAGGTGACAACCAGCACCTTGAACTGGACCCGGAAGCAAATCAGCAACCAGCGCAGCTCTCATAAGAGAGGTGGCCCGTGTGCAAATCTAGACTTGGACAAAACCCTGAGGGCCGTGGCACTTTGAACCAACGGAAGCTTCCTGGGTGAATCCTGCCAGACTTTATTCCATCCCAGTCAAAGGGTTGTCCAATCTCTTCTTAACCATTTCAAATGTTGGAACACCCACAAAGTCAGGAGGCAAATTGTTCCGCTAGTTAATGGTTCTCCCTGTCAGGAAATTCCTCCTTAATGCCAGGTTGCTTCTCTCCCACATGAGTTTCCACCCATTGCTCCTTGTCCTGCCTCCGGGTGCTTTGGACAAGAGGTCGACCCCCCCTCGTCTATGCGGCAGCCCCTCAAATCCTGGAAGACTCCTGGTCCTTCTCTTTGTTAGACTAGGCAGGGTACCGATGGGGCCCAGGGCCCTTCTCCTCCCTGATGCAGCAGGGACTCCCCTGTAAGCAAAGCCCTTTCCTGCCAATTCTGGCTGCGATGCGCCCTTCCCGGCCGGCCGGCGAAGCCTTTTTCCACCTGGCTGCTCAGGAACCTGAATTCCTGCCAAGGAGAGGACAGAGAGGTGAGTTCACCACGTTTTATGATTAAATATTGTAGGGTGGATTTCTTGTTTATGCCTTTATGGTCTTAGGTAATGTGTGAGCTTTGCACATTCTCCTAATGAGCAGCAGCAGCAGCAGCAGCCAATAGCAATGATCCCTGACCAAGATGCAAGGCTCCCCGGATGGGATCTGGTCTCAATTTCCACTTCCCCCACCCCCGTCACAGCTGTCTTCTCCTGCCAGCAGGGCCTGGTGCAGAAGATACGGGCAGCTCAACCTCTCCCTGGCACAGAGCCTGCAAATCTTGCCCACCCCTTTCAAGAGCAAGGGTGCGATTAAAGGCCCAGGAACTTCCCAGAATGTGCAGCTGATCCTTACTCTGACTTCCAGGAACAAGGAGGAGCAGGGAACTCAGAGTTTCAGCATTTCTGGCAAGGACAGTTTGCTCTTCCTTCCTTGGCTGTTCTCCTGGGCATTAATGCCACCCTGCCCTTCTTCCGCTGGCACCCAGAAGTGCCAGTGGTACCGTCTCCCTCTTTCTCTGCCCTTTTGGGTGCCCCTTTCCGGACACACGGCTCTGCTGAGTGCTGCCCATTGGTGGAAACAGGGATGAGCAGAACCCGCTGCATTTAACAGAATAACAGAGTTGGAAAGGACCTTGGAGGTCTTCTAGTCCAGCCCCTTGCTCAATCAGGAGACCCTAGACCATGCCAGACAAATGGCTGCCCAGTCCCTTCTTCAAAGCCTCCAGGGATGGAGCGGCCACAATTTCCAGAAGCAAGTCGTTCCACCGATTAATTGTTCTCACTATCAGGAAATTTCTGCATGGTTAGATTGGATTTCTCCTTGGTTCCATCCATTGTTTCCTGTCCTGCCTTCTGCTGCTTTGGAGAATAGGTGGGCCCCTCCCCCTCCTCTGTGGGAACAGAACGGGACGGCCCGCCTTGGCCAGCCTGCCACGGCCAACTCACCACCGAACAATTCACTGCAGGCCAATGCAACAATTTTCTTTCATTGAATAAAATAATATTAAACATTATTTTTTGTCATTCACCTTTCATTTTGTCCCTCCTTTGGCATCTTTTCTTTAATATTCTATTTCCCCATTTCTTTGATATTCAGTTAATTTTTGTCCCGTGGCAACTTGCCCTACGGGGAGTTGGCCTCGGTGAGTTGGCCGTGGCCAATTCTTTAATCTTTAATCGATCGCACAAATAAACAAACCCTCCATCCGCGCCGCCTTGACGCTTTTCCGCGGAACGGAACATCAGCGAAGTCACCATTTCTCCAGATTGCATCTACACGGCTGCAGGCGAGGCCAGCGGTGCGCAAAGACAATAGACCCTGCTCGCGTGTTGGGACGTGTGTTTAAAGAACAGCGCCTGTCCCAGGGATGGCGGGACCGACTTGGGGTGGGGGGTCCATTCGAGTTGGCTGGAAGAGGCTGCAAGAGGGGGGTGTCAGCGAGTGCAACCTGGAGAGCAAAGGTGTTGGCTTCTGAGTCATTTGAATGCCAGGGAGGAGGAAGGAGCGTGCGAGCCTGAGCCGGGGAGGCACCCGGGATTAACACAGCAGCTGCCAGACACCGGAGCGACTTCCTTCTGGGCCGAGAGATTTCAAATCAAATTCTCCTTTAACCCCTCCCCGCCTTGGGCTCCTGCCTCCTACCTGGTCATGGAAGGCGAAGCAGCAGCAGCAGCCAAGGGGCCAAGGTCGGCCCCGAGCGCACCAGAGCCTTTATATAGCCTGAGAGAGTGCCTGGCCTTCCTTTGACACCTCGGCTGGCTGGGCACCCTCTCCATCATGTGGCAGGCGGTTCTGGCATACAGGAGCTATCTCATCGGCGTCCTGACGCCCCTGGTCTTCCTCCCTCTGCCTCTGGCCCTCCCTTACAAGGTAGGTGGCTTTCTCCATTCCAAAGAGGACATTCCCAAGAGTTCAAACTTTTTTTTTTAAGAAAAACAACCAAATTTATTGGCTGGCATTCTGGCGGTGCGTCAATTCTTTCTTTGAACAGAAAAGCGCAAAATGGCTTTGGAGGGTTTTTTTTTTTATGAGTAGGGGGTCTCTGAAGTCCAGTGAAAGAGAAGCGAAAGGGCCGGCGGATAAATGAGCCACAGCTTCTTTGAGGTTTCTACTTTTACGTTTCTTTGTTTATTTAGTTATTACATTTATATCCGCCCAACACCCAAATGTAAACCAGCTTGCCTCTTCGGCCTTGGACAGCGCGATGAGCTGAAGAGGCAAACTGGTTTACATTTGGGTGTTGGAAAGTGGTTTTCCTCTTCAGCAGGATGAGAAGTTGGAGGAAGAAGGCAGGTTTTCAGTTCATTGTTTGCTATTCTTTAAACCATGGTCAAGGTGGACCATTTGGGAACATCTGATGGCAGTGCCCATGAAAAAAAACATGGTACCAGCAAGAACAAACAACCCATAAATGCAGCGAAGTTTGCCAAACACAGAGCAAACACGCGTTTGTGGCAAACTTGGGGTTGTGGCTGCCACAACCCCAAGCGTCAATGTTTACGTTTCAGTTCACCGGTTTAGGTAGGTAGTTGGCATGTGCCATCCACTCCCAACGTGCAGGGAGTAGTAATTATCATTAGGATCAATGACTTCAGAGGCACAAACCACGCAGGTTATGGGAACAAGCGCCGTAAAACCATCTAAAACCAGAGAGACAAAATGAGAAGACTAAATCCGAAGGTAAATTTAAAAAAAAGACAATCCCTGGTGTTGCAGAAAAAAACTGGCAGAAGGATGAAGAGGGAAGCCGAGCCAGGCAGCAAGAAAAAGGGATCCTCAGGGTTGGGGCCACTGCCAAAAGGGCCCTGCAGTCACCACTGCTCCAGGTGGACTTCCTGAGGTCCGCAGTGGCAAAGCAACGGGGGCAGGGAGGATTCCTCCGTTGGCAGCTGCTGGGAGCCCTGGACCACTGCAGCTCTTTCAATTCTATCAGGAGAAGCTTTGCAGCTCAGGGTTGAAATGGGGGGTCCTGGGGGCTCTCTGAGCTTGGCTGTTTTCATGCAGATGTTTCATGACCCAGCTAAGGAACATCATCAGGAGGAGGAAGAGGAGGACTGTGGGGTCCTTGGTGCTGTCTGAACTTGGCGGTTTTCTTACAGATGTTTCATGACCCAACAGGGTAACGTCATCAGTGCTAGTAAGGAATAGTAAATTGAGGGCAACCCCCCTTTCCTTCTAGCACTGATGACGTTCCTTAGCTGGGTAATGAAACATCTGCAAGAAAATAACCAAGCTCAGAGAGTACCAAGGAGCCTCCCCCCCTTCTTTCAAACCTTGCCCCCCCCCCAAAAAAAAACACTGACAAGAGGGAAGGGCACCTGCAGCACAACCAGCTGTGACCCAGACTCTGCATATCCCCCTAAAGCTCTGCTTTAAAGCCTCACTTTGTGACTGGAGGCTGGAGGAGAATGACACACATTTTCCTTCGGCATGGGGGTGGGGGGGTGAGGAGCTGACCCGTCTTTAAAGCTGCCCTGGTACTAACCGCTTGTCCTTGGTGACTCCTCCTGCACGCACAGGCTCCTCTGTGACTTCGCAAGCCCCGTTTCTCTACGTGATCCTTGGTGTCAATATTTAGTGTTTAAAAGCAGCTTCCAGGTGGAGGGGGGGTGGGGGGCAACGGGTCTTCTGGCTTGAAGTGGGGCTGAGCAGCAGGTTCGCCTGGGATGGTTCTCCATGGATTTGCAAGGCAAGGAGGAGAGCGTGGAGCATGTCCACCAGGTGGGAATTCAGCTCCCATAATCCCCAACCGGCAAGTTTGGGAACTACAGTTATAGTTGAGGATCAAGGCTGGGGGGAAAAAGGCCCACCAAGTGGGTTTAATTCATAGATATGTCAGCTTATCAGCATTATTGCTGGTTTTCTGGTTTTCAGTGAAATCTAGTGTTTTTCTCTTCTTCCTCTTCCACTTCTTCATTTTCCTTCTCTTTTGAGGATTTTATTTTTCTCTTATTTTTGCCTGGCCCGGCTCCTTAGAGGAGAAAAGTATCAATAAAGTACAAAATGAAAAGCCTTGTCAGAGAAAAGGCATAGGCAACATTTTAAAAACTGGGATGAATTTGGAGCATAGAGAGTTATCGAAGAATTAGAGGGGATTGTAATCTAATCCCTGCATAGAATGTTCTCTGAGTGTTGATTCCAGGTTAGAGAATATTTAGAAATGGTATTTATATTTACTGATATGGAGATATGTTATCTTGGAAGATTGCTTTCCTTTGACCAAGAGTACAGGTAATCCTGGCTTCCTTTTACCGCTAACTCTTAGAATAGAGAAGAGAAGAGAATGACAGAGTCGGAAGGGACCTTGGAGGTCATCTAGTCCAACCCCCTGCTTAGGCAGGAAACCCTATAGTACCATTTCAGACAAATGGTTGTCCAATCTCTTCTTAAAAACTTCCAGTGTTGGAGGTTTCTTCCCAACATATTGCTTTCTCCACCTTTTATTCAGCGTGTCGTGATTCTTTCTCAAGCTTTTAACCCCACTGTAACCTGTAAAGGAGGAAGAGCTAAGAGAGCCCAGGCAATATTAAATAGATCCCAGTCATGATAAAATATCAGAAATTCAGAAGAGGAATCTTGGAAGGGAATGTACAGAACATCTAGTAATATTCAATTCCACGTTGCTGCCCGCCCTTTTTAAAGTGGCCGAGAATGAAAAGTATTGATCATGTTCAACCACCTGCTGAGTGGAGGAATAGGGTCCTTGCTTGGTGACCCTCCAACTTCTGCTGAAACATCTCCAGCCCAGGAAGGTCCACCACTACTCTGGCATCCGCTTCCTCTTCCCCTTAGAAAATTCTTCTTGGTGTCCAGGCAAAGCCCATTTCCTTCTCACTTATCCCCAGAGCTTCGTGCCTGATCTTCTGGGACAATTGGGCCTCCGTCTTCTAGTCCACCTTCATCTGGACTAGAGGAGCTCCTAGAGGAGGTCTCTTCTAACTTCTCTTTGATTCTGTGTTTATTCTGTCATTGCTTTAGTCTGTTATTCTATTATTCTGCTGTTTTGTCCCATTTTATAACCCGTCTTGCAAAAGTTAAGGGAATCCCTGCAGTTTTTAAGTGAGTCACACGGTTGTTAAGCGAGCCTGGGTTCCCCATTGACTCTGCTTATCAGAAGGTCGCAAAAGGGGATCGGGGATCACTGGAACTGTCATAAATATGAAGCAGTTGCCTTTGATCATGGACCATGGAGACGATGCTGCAACGGTTGTAAGTCTGAAAAATGGTCGTAAGTCCCTTTTTTCAGTGCCCGTTGTAACTTCGAAAGGTCTCTAAACGAACTGCTGTAAGTCAAGGACTCTCTGCACTTTCATCTTGGTGGCTTGTTTTTATAGTCAATTAAATCTGAAATGAATTCAGGAATTTGTTTTCTGAAGAATCCTAATTAACCTGATCGTGAAGTCCTCCAACTTCCCCTGAGATTCACCCAGGATTTCCCCATCAGAGGGAAGAGATTTCCTTTCCGTGGACACCAGAGAAACTTCCCTTCGTGACCCCTGTGTCGTTTTCACCTGATAGGCTTGTTTACCTCTGGGATGAGACACCACCAGGAAACCATCGGGCCATTCTAGGCAAGACAAGGAAGTCTAAGAAGGCAGATGGCCTGGGTGAATCAGAGTTACGAAATCATTGGTTGGAAGAGACCTCGGAGGTCCTCTAGTCCAGCCCCCTGTCCAGGGCAGGCATCTTCAGACCATCCCAGACCCCTGAGTTCAGGAGGGAGGCTGGCCCACAGTCAGGAAATCCCACCTTAATTCAAGCTTGGTCCTTCTTTTCTCTCCATCGGTCCTTGTCTTCCCCTCTGGAGAATCAGTGCACACTCTCTGCCCTGGGACAGCCAGGAAAAGGAGGAATTTTCTGACAATGAGAATAATTAACCAGTGGAACAATCTGCCACCAGAAGTTGTGGGTGCTCCATCACTGGAGGCTCTTAAGAAAAGACTGGAAAGCCGTTTGTCTGGAATGGTAGAGGGTTTCCTGCTTGAATAGGGGGCTGGACTAGAAGCCCTCTGAGATCCCTCCCATCTCTGTTGTTCTGTATTCTGTTATTCAGTCGCCTCCTGCATTTTGCACAGGTTGGCTCACTGTTCCTCAGTCCAGAAATAATTAACTGCAGATCAAGAGCCAAGAAACTTTCAGCCTGGCTTTCCATGTAAACACGCATCTGACATAAACTGGGACCTCCATGAAGAATCTGTGAATCGGCCGGGACAGTTTAAGCCAGCCCACCTGAGTGTCCGGTGCAAATAGCCAGGCGTGTTTGTTGAGTTCAAAGCATGGAAGATTTTATTTTTGCAACTTGTACACAAGACTCTTATTAACTATGGGCAGTCCTCGACTTACATACACAACTGAGCTCAAAATTTCTGTTGCTAAGTGAGACAGTTGCTAAGTGAGGTTTGCCCTTTCTTGACACCGTTGTTAAGTGAGCCACTGCAGCGGTTAAGTCAGTCACACGGTTGCTAAGTGAATCCGGCTTCCCCGTTGATTTTGCTTGTCAGAAGGCCGTAAAGGGGGATCACGTGACCCTGGGGGACTCTGCGACCGTCATAAGTCCATGCCAGTTGCCAAGCCTCTGAATTCTGATCACGTGATCACGAGGAGGCTACCACAGACGTACGTGTGGAAAACAGTCATAAGTCACTTTTTTTCAGGGTGTTTGTAACTTTGGACCGTCACTAAGTGAATGGTTGTAAATTGAGGATTACCTGTAATGAGGAAAGCCAAATTGGCACTGGATCAGGGTCAACAGAATCCAAAGGGGGCTGGGTTGGGGTCTCTTGTGGCTATGCAATGACTCCAAACTCATGACACGCTTAACTCCCGCCCCCCTGCTCTGCTCTTTTGCCCATTTTTGCCCAGCTTCTCCCGACTCCTCTGCCCCCCCCCCTTCCCCCCACATCCTGGGAGAGCCGGCAGGGAGTTGCTGCTCCTTGTGAAGGTGCTCGGGAGCTCTTCCAAGCCGGGAGAAGCCGGTCTGGCCCAGCCAACGGGAGGTTCTGGCCTCCGAACGGAAATCAGGACTTCCAGCTCCTGCTCACGGGGGACACCGGCAGCCCTTCCAAGAAGCAAAGTCTGCTGCTGTGCGCCTGGCAATCTTTAAGCCGGGCGGGGGTGGGGGGTGGGGGGGGTGTGGGGGGTGTGGGGGGGGTTGCCCTGTCAGCTCCAGCAGGAACCCCAGGGCAGCAGGAGGGGGAGGGGAGGAGAGCCAGGAGGGCAAAGGGCATTCCTTGGCGGAGTTCAGGATCTTGCTTGCTTGCTTGCTCTCCCTCCTTTCTTTCTCTCTCTCCCTTCCTCCCTCCTTCCTAGCTTGCTTGCTTCCTTTCTCTCTCTTTTCTTCTTCTTCTTCTTCTTCTTATTCTTCTTCTTCTTCTTCTTCTTCTTCTTCTTCTTCTTCTTCTTCTTCTTCTTCTTCTTCTTCTTCTTCCTCCTCCTCCTCCTCCTCCTCCTCCTCTTCTCCTTCTCCTTCTCCTTCTCCTTCTCCTTCTCCTTCTCCTTCCTCCTCCTCCTCCTCCTCCTCTTCTCCTCCTCCTCCTCCTCCTCCTCCTCCTTCTCCTCCTCCTCCTCCTCCTGCCTGGCTCAGGAATTCTGGGACTTGAGGTCCACAGGATGTCATAATGTTGCCCTAGTCTCCCACCCCTGACCTATCCGATTGCGGGGCCTCTGTCTGATGCTAAATTTGGCCTGTCTGCACAGGACGTTTCCCTTTGTCCTGGGACTGGAAGACCTTTTGCAAACCTCAAACAACTCCCACTAATCCCTCCACACATTGGCAAATATCCGTAGAGCACAAACGATGCTTGCATGTCCCCTGAGAGCACCAGAGACCCCGGGCAGCTTCACATATTTTTTTTTTAAATCCATCATATAATAAAAACCCAGAACCTCCCAGCCCCCCCCCCCCCCCCGAGCCCTGTGGCAGCAACGACACAATCAAATTGGCCACTTAATTGGCTCCGTCTCCATCCGGGGTCCCCAGGCCCCTGGGCAAGACCATGTTTTTGGGCCCTTGGGAAAAGCAGCAGGGTGTGGGGGGGGGCAACCCCATCTCAAGGGGAACGAATGATGTTCCAATAACAGAGCTGGAAGGGATCTTGAAGATCTTCTCAAGCATAGAGAAGAAGGGGCCACCACCGAGGAGGCCTTTTCTCGTGGTTCCACCAGGTGACAGTCCGTAATCAGCGGGGCCTGTAATGCCCTCCGTCTCCATCCTGTGGACCCCATGACTTTCACAGGTCCTTCAAACAGCCTGGCCCCAGGTCCTGTCCTCTCCCCATGGATTGTGTGGGGAAACGCAAAGCAGTTACAGCAAAACGAGCACCTGAATGGTGGGGCATCTTTCCCAGACTTTTTCAAGGCTCCATTTCCAGTCAGGAGGAGGAAGAAGGAAGCCTGGCCAGAACCAGGCGGCTTCGTCTCCCCTCCCTCCCGCTGGGACAGGCCCTTCCGAGGCAGTCACGGGGGCAGAGCTGCGGTTACCTGCCTAATTACAGGTCTGGGTTGCCCAAGAGGCCAAGGTGGAAGCAGCCCAGGTGCTCCAGCAGAGCAAACACACCCAAGATCTGGGCATCGGATCCTTGCAGCCGAAGAAGTGGGTGCTTTTGAAACCAAGCAATCGCGTGCAGGCACACACACACAAGCACACACAGCTGCGGCCTTAGAGTCAGGCGGAGGAGAGGACGACCACGGAGAGAATCCGGCAGGTAGACCAGGGCTGTCCCGTTGGTCTTGAGCGATTTTCTCTCTCCAAAGAGAGACGTGGCCCATCCTGGGGGCTGCTTGGGGTCACCTTCAGGTGTGGATCAAAATTTCAAGATGGCAGCCGAGGTGGTTTTTGACGTGGGTTGCCCTCTTGACCTCTTCAACCACCCGCTGTGGACAACCCTGGGGCTGCTTCTTCTACCATACCAGCAGCTCTGGTGTTCCTCATCTGTGACTCAGGACAGAATAACAGAGTTGGGAGGGACCTTGGAGGTCTTCTAGTCCAGCCCCCTGCTCAAGCAGAAAACCCTAGACCATTTCAGACAAATAATTTACCCAACCTCTTCTTAAAAACCTCCAGTGTTGGAGCATTCACAACTTCTGGAGGCAAGTTATTCCACTTATTAATTGTTCTTAACTGTCAGGAAATTTCTTCTCAGTTCTAAATTGCTTCTCTCCTTGATCAGTTTCCATCCGTTGCTTCTTGTTCTGCCTTCAGGTGCTTTGGAGAAGAGCTTGACTCCCTCTTCTTTGTGGCAGCCCCTCAAATACTGGAAGGCTGCTATCATGTCACCCCTGGTCCTTCTTTTCATCAAACTAGACCTACCCATTTCCTGCAATTGTTCATCCTATGTTTTAGCCTCCAGCCCCTGAATCCTCTTTGTTGCTCTTCTCGGCACCCTTTCCAGAACCTCAACATATTTTTTGTATTGTGGTAACCCAAACTGGATGCAATGCCTGGTCCAAGGGTCATTCTGGCTCGGACCAGGGGCTGTTCTGAGCACTCAGCGTTGCCCAGAGGGGCACTCAAGGCTGGGCGGTGCTGCCCAAGGCTGGTCAAGAGGCCTAGGAAGGGCTAAGGGCTCTCCTGGGGGACGACCTTGGCTTCAGGGGGAACGTCTCTTGGCAGCCAGGTACGGCTGGTGGGCACCTCCTTCTTCTGCAAGTGTTTCTCGGGTGATTTAATTTCCTTGCAAAATGTGGGCTTTCCTGGCATCCTCCCATCCATGACCTGGTCTGGTTCAATCCTGCTTAGCTTTCTGAGATCACTCCAGGTGCTGCTGCCCAGCTTGGTCTTCTGGAAACGGTCCCGACGTGAAGAAACAGAGCAGAGTTTCACAAGCATGGGAATTTACAGGTGTCCCCATTTCAACTTTCCAAGTTCTTGCAATGGTCTCATTCTCTGGGAGGCTCCTGGGGTTGACGCCCTCATCTGGGGGTGCCCAGGTTATGCAACCCTGCAGAGGCAAATGCTCTTCCTGGTTTCTTAGCTCCAGGCCTGCCTGGAAGCCTGGGAGTTGGACCCGCCAAACATGTCAGCCTTGACACGTGCTTTAAGACGGGTGGACTTCAACCCCCAGAATTCCCCAGCCTTTATGTTTTAAGATGGGTGGACTTCCACATGCTTTCTGGGGAACTCTGGGAGTTGAAGTCCATCGAGTTCAAAGTTGGCCTAGGAAGATCTAGATAAACGAGGAGTCCAGCGGCACCTTCTCCAATTCAGAAATTTTATTAAAAGGCAGAAGAAGCCTTGGTTGGCAGCCCCTCATCAGATGCCCTGCAGCAGCCAGACTCATATAGCACTTAAATCCTATTTTCTTATTACAGTTTGTTCACTGTATGGTTCTTTTGGTGTTTGCAAAACCCTGGTGGTGTCTTTTCCCTCTTACAGAGGTGATTGAAAGAGAAGTGCCGCTGGAGAGCAGATGCCTTCCCAGGGAGCTCCGGATGGCAGCCCTGCCCACTTGGCGCCCTCAGTGCCCGAATCCTCTTCTTGACTGGCTTCTCTTCTTCCCCCAGGAAGCCCAATGCGGCTACACTATCATTGTGATGGCCATCTTCTGGTGCACGGAAGCCCTGCCCCTGGCGGTGACCGCTCTCTTCCCCGTCCTCTTCTTCCCCCTCATGGGCATCATGGACTCCACCACGGTACGCCAAGCAGGGGCGTCGGGTGGGCCGAGGTGGGCAGGGAAGAGGGAAGGGACCACCCCCACGGCTGATGCTGGCTTTGCTTGGCACGATAGCAGAGTTCCAGTGTTTGAGGGGCTGTCAGAGAGAAGAGGGGGGTCAACCTATTCTCCAAAGCCCCTGAAGGCAGGACAAGGAACAACGGATGGAAACCAACCAAGGAGAAAAGCCACTTGAAACCAAGGAGAAACGTCCTGACAGTGAGGACAATTAACCAGTGGAAGGGATTGCCACCAGAAGTTGTGGGGGCTCCATCACTGGAGGTTTTCAAGAATAGACTGAACAGCCACTGCTCAGGAATGGTACATAGGATAAGGGTGTCTAACCTTGAGAACTTTAAGATTTGTGGACTTCAATTCCCAGAATTCTGGGAGTTGAAGTCCACAAGTCTTAAAAGTTCCCAGGTTGGACCCCCCTTTGATAAAAGATTTCCTGCTTGAGGAGAGGGTTGGACTAGAAGACCTCCAAAGTCCCTTCCAACTCAGTCATCCTGTTACTTTGCTTCCCTGCAGGTGTGCATGGAGTACCTGAAGGACACCAACATGCTCTTCATCGGGGGGCTCCTGGTGGCCATCGCTGTTGAGCACTGGAACCTCCACAGGCGCATCGCGCTGCAGGTCCTGCTCATCGTCGGGGTCCGGCCTGCCTTGTGAGTACTTCAGGACAGGGGCTCAGGGCTGGGACCTTCCCCTCCCCTCGTGCCCCTTGATTGAGCCCTCAGAAGAGGATGCTTGGGGGGAGGGCTCCTGTCAATGGGCTGGTGAGCATCCCTCGGGTCCCTTCCGCCTGGTGGACCTCAGAGTTACCCTAGAGAAGGCCTGTGCAGCCTTGATGAGGTCATCTGCATTACTGCCTAGTGGGGCAATCAATCAGAACAGAGCTGGAAAGGACGTTGGAGGTCTTGTAGTCCAGCCCCCTGCTCAAGCAGGAGACCTTCTACCAGGGATGTCCAACATTAGAACTTTGAAACTTGTGGACTTTAATTCCCAGAATTCTGAGAGTTGAAGTCCACAAGTCTTAAAGTTCCAAGGTTGAACACCTGAAGATCTCCCACCGTCCAGTCTCTTCTTGGAAACCACCAGTGTTGGAGCAGCCACCACTTCTGGAAGGAAGCTGTTCCACTGATTGATGGTCCTCACTGTCAGGAAGGTTCTCCTGAGCTTCAGGTTGCTTCTCTCCTTGATCAGTTTCCATCCATTGGATGTCTGTTGAGATTCTCAGTCATCCAGGTCATGGTTGCCCCATTGCCTCTTGAAAAAGCCCCTTTGGGAATTCCATCCGTGGCTTCTTGTCCTGCCCTCAGGAGTTTTGGAGAATAGCTTGACTTCCTTTTCTTTGGGGCAGCCCCTGAGATATTGGAAGACTGCTATCACGTCATCCCTAGTCCTTCTTTTCATTAACTAGACACACCCAGCTCCTGCAACCGTTCTTTCTATGTTTTAGCCTCCAGCCCCCTAATTCTCCATGCCAAATGTCCGGACTAGTTCTCAGCCCCAACACTTGGCGTGGGGCTAGGAAGCCCCCCTGGTGCCCTGCGCTGTTCACCCCAAGCAGTGCAGCTCCTGGAGGGCTCCAGCCCGGACAGGCTCAACCCTCCCTCTCCTCCTCCTCCTCCTCCCTCCTCCAGGCTCCTGATGGGCTTCATGGGCGTGACCGCCTTCCTCTCCATGTGGATCAGCAACACGGCCACCACGGCCATGATGGTGCCCATCGCCCAGGCCGTCCTGCAGCAGCTGCAGAAGTCGGAGCTGGAGCAGAGCGCTGCGGAGCAGGGGATCACCCAGAACGGGACCATCAACCGGGCCTTCGAGATGCAGGAGGCACCCCCACAGCAAGGTAGGGGTCCCGCTTGCTCTCAAAGCTTCCTCCTGGCTTGCAGGGGCTCCCAGACGGGACGATCTCGGTTTGGCTGGGGCTTCCTCATCCAAGCCCTGGGTTGTTACAGGTAGTCCTCGACTTACGACCGCAATTGGGAGCAGAATTTCCACTGCAAAGCAAGGCCGCTGTTAAGTGAATCATATGGTCATTAAGTGAATTTGGCTTCCAGCATTGACTTTGCTTGCTGGGAAGGTCGCAAATGCCGGTCATATGACTCCCGGATACATGCCGGGTGCCAAGGGCCCAAATTTTAATCAAGTGACGGTGGAGATGCTGAAAATGGTCATAAGTGTGAGGACTGGTCATCATAGGTGACTTTTTTCAGTGTCACTGGAACTTTCAATGGTCACTAAATGAATGGCTACAGATAGACCTCAAATTATGACCGTCATTGAGCTTGGCGATTACGGTCCTACGTTGTAACAGTGGCAAAGTGGCTCACCACATGATTGGACCCGATTTTATGACCTGTTTTTGTGGAGGTCGTTAAGCAAACCCAATGTAAATGCCGGTTTCTGGCAAAAATATCCCCCATCGTGGTCACATGACCCAGGGGTGCTGCAAACAGTCGGTTGCTGAGTGCCAAAAATGTGGTCACATGACCGGGGGGAGGGGCGACACTGAAGCTTTGAAACTGGGTTGTAAGTAGCTTTTGGAGGGTCTGTTGTAACTTCAAGTGGTCGTAAGTTGAGGACTCCCTAGTCAGGAGAAATTGCACCTCCCCTTAGCTCTGAGCAGTGCTGGAGAGAAAGAAATGAGAGAAGGGGGGGGGGGGGTTTCCTTCCTTAGAATTTTTTTTGGGGGGGGGGGCAAAATCCTATGGACAGTCTCAAAAGGAGGCCATTGCAAGGATATGTGAAACAGCCCCCCCCCCAACCAGGAGAGCTGTGAAAATAATAAATGCCCCTGAAACTCCACTTCTGCTTTCTGAGCTGTGGAACCGAAGCTTTGTGTCTCCAATCACACTTGGCCAATAAAGAATCTTGTACTGTATTCTTAAGGTATTTCGCCCCTGCTTTGGAAGACTTCCTCTCTAGGGACAGCCACGCTGGCTGGGGGATTCTGGGAGTTGAAGTCCGGACACCTTAAAATGGAGAAACGCTGGGCTGAATTAAGCAGGCACCAACCCAGGGCAGCCTCGGGCACTCTCTGGCCTGAAAAGCAGCTTCCCATGCAGGGAAAGCTATCTCCAGATCGCCCCCTGCTGGTGTGGCACCTCAAACGATGGGTGATGCGCCCAGTGCCAACCCCTCGCCCATCTCCCTGGCTGCTGGGGCAGGCCATGGTTTTCATACGGCTGAGTCTGGCTGCCTCGGCCTTTGCTGGCCTTGAGGTCCTGGGAGCTCTCTTTGAGCTTGCTTGGTGGCTTCCTTGCAGACTTTTCCTGACCCAACTGGGGGACATCATCAGTGCTAACAGAGAGGTGGGTTGTGGGGAGGAGGACTGTGGAGTCCTTGGTGCTCTCTGAGCTTGGTGGTTTGTTTCCAGACATTTAATTACCGGACTAGCACTGATGATGTTCCCTAGCTGGGTCATGAAAGGTCTGCAAGAAAACTGCCAAGCTCAGAGAGCACCAGGGACCCCCCAGTCCTCCTCCTCTTCCTCCCAACGCCCCCTCCCTTCTAGCACTGATGATGTTCCCTAGTTGGGTCATGAAACGTCTGCAAGCTCAGAGACCACCAGGGACCCCACAGTTCCACCCTGAGCCACACAGACTCCCTTGGTATCAGCCATCTCCTCATCTGAAGCTGCCAGGCTACTAAGAGGCTCCCAGAGACGTTCACTGGGCATCCAGAGGCCTTTTTAAAGAGCTGGGACAGATGCCCACCGAGCTTCTCCGCAACAGGGCACTGCCAAGACCCCCCGTGTGGTTCTGGGTCAGCCTCGGCTGGGGAGGGGCCTGCCCCTTGTCTTGTGAAACGGGGAGCCTGGGCAAAGCAGCAGAGTCCGGGAGCCAGGCAGTGCGTGGCCTGTCTCTTGCTTGCCCGCTGCCCTCCTGCCCAGCTTGCTGACGGACCCTTCCCCCCTCTTGTGAACCCCCAGCCAACGCCCACCTGCAGGTGGTGGTGAAGGAGAAGGTGCCCGAGGAGGCTGAGCAGAAGCTGGACGAACACCTGCAGCAGCTCCAGCAGAAGCACCAGACCTTCTGCAAAGGGATGAGTCTGGCCGTCTGCTACTCTGCCAGCATCGGTGGCATCGCCACCCTGACGGGCACCACCCCCAACCTGGTGATGAAGGGGCAGATGGACGAGTAAGTCTCCCTGGCATCCCTGGAGTGGGGGTGGGGCTCCTCCATGGCCCAGTCTCTCCGGGCATGGCCCATTTCCAGGTTTCTTTCCCAGAGTATTTAGGGGTGGGGGGTCCAGAAGGGTCTCCCTCCTACTTTCTCCATCGCTCCTTCCCAGGTTCCAGGTGGCTGGTCTCTGCCTGCTAGCAGAAGCCCCTCATTAAGGGCTGGAGGATGCTTCCCTTCTGCAGAAGAGACCCCTCCCCCCACAAAGGGATGACTGTGTGTGCGGAGAGGGTGGCTGGCTGCTTTGAGCAGGGGGTTGGACTAGAAGACCTCCAGGGTCCCTTCCACTGTTATTCTGTACTCTAAAGCTTTCATTGCAGTGCACCAGCTGCTGAAATAGAATCCTAGGGCTGGAAGGGACCCCAGAGATCTTCTAGTCCAACCCCCTGCTAAAGCAGGGGGTTGTGATGGAGCACCCACAACTTCTGGAGGGAAGCTGTTCCACTGGTTAATTGTTCTCACTGTCAGGAAATTCCCCAATTCTAAGTTGAATCTCTCCTGGATCAGTTTCCATCCATTGCTTCTCCTTCCATCCTCCCTCCCTCCCTCCCTTCCTGAATGATAGAATCCTAGGATTGGAAGGCACCTTGAAGGTCTTCCAATCTAACCCCCTGCTCAGGCAGGATACCCGAGGCCTAGACCTTCTTCAAATCCTCCATTGATGGAGCCCCCACAACCTCTGGAGGGAAGCCGTTCCACTGATAAATCGTTCCCATTGTCAGGAAATCCCTCCTTCGCTCTAGGTTGCTTCTCTTAGTTTTCCCCCGAAAGGGAGCTGGTCAACTGAGGATGGCACATTTCCTGGTATTGTCCTTGGGCCACCTGCAGACCAGCCTCTCGTAGCCTTGGCCACTTTTAAGATGGGGGGGCTTCAGTGGCCAGAATTCCTGCCCCAGCAGAGTCACCATCGGAGGCTGAGACACGCTGGGCGGTTTCTGCAGCTGTGGGGGGAGGGGTGCTGCAGAGGGCACAATGACGGGGCTCTCTCCTCGCCAGGCTCTTCTGCCGCAATGACAACGTGGTGAATTTTGCCTCCTGGTTCACCTTTGCCTTCCCCGCCATGCTGGTGTTGCTGGCCCTCTCCTGGCTGTGGCTGCTGCTGATGTTCCTGGGCTTGGAGTGAGTCTCTGGGCTCCTTCTGGCCGTGGGGGAGGAAGCGGGGGGGCTTGTGGAAGAGGCCACTGGGTTCTCTCATGCCCCCTTCTTTGGGTCGGGGGCTGCGCCTGGCCTCCATCAAAGGGACTCAGTCACTCACCAGAGACCTCACGGAGTGAGAGTCAGCCTCTCCAGAGAGGCCTCCTGCCAAATGACCCTTCCAGGACAAGGCACCGGGTCGTGTGGGGGGGGGGGAATCCCCTCTGCTGGCTGCCCCACATCCTTTCCCCTCCGACCTCCCAGCTTCAAGAAGAATTTCGGCTGCGGCATCAGCGAGGCGGAGAAGCAGAAGTCCAAGCAGGCCTACAAAATCATCAAGAGCGAGTACCGGGCGTTGGGCCGGATGAAGTTCTCTGAGGCGGCCGTCCTCATCCTCTTCATCGCCCTGGTGGTCCTTTGGTTCACCCGGGAGCCCGGCTTCATGCCCGGCTGGGCCAACGCCCTCTTCAGTGAGAGGGGGAAGAGGTGAGGAGGAGGCTGTCCAGCTCGGGTGGAGGTCTCGGAGCTCTGGATAATCTGCCTTTGGGTCCTCCCCTCGCCCCCCACCCCCGGGGCTGCGTTTGAGGCAACCAAAGACCCCCCTCCCCCCGGTCCTTCAGGCCTCTCCCTCCAGCCCCGTCTCAGCCAGAGGGGGCTGAGTGACACTGGACTCCGTCTTACAGCCACATCACAGACGCCACGGTGGTCATTTTCATCTCGTTGCTGATGTTCCTGATCCCCTCCGAACTGCCCAGATGTTCTTCCGGGGCCCAGCAGGAAGGTAAGCAGAGAGTGCCAGGCTGGCAGAGGGAGCAACCTGGGGAGCCCTCCTGGCAGACCCCCCCGAGAAGGATCAAGCAAGGGGCCTGGAGCGCCTACACTGTGCTGGCGCCTCACTTAGGAGCCCCGAGATCAGGAGGGGCCTGGTGGAAGAGCCTCTTCCTCCTTCAACATCTGCCATTCCTTCCTGGCAGTCAAACAGCCTTTCGGTGGTCCACATTCACTGGTCTTTGAGCCAAGGAGGGAGAATTGTGGGTCTCCCCTCCCCCTCCCCCAGCTGCCCATCTAAAACTTCCACTAACCCAAAATAAATTGGGGGGAAGCAGAGAGGGGAGAAAACTTCAACAACAGAAGTTGGAGTTTAGATTTAGGACATAGTTTTATTCCGAGAGGGTGTGTGGGTCTCCAAACCTGGCCACTTGATGACTTGTGGACTTCAACTCCCAGAGTTCCTCACCCAGATGCCTGAGGAATTCTGGAAATTGAGTCCACAAGTTTCAAAGTGGCCAGGTTTGGGGACCCCCGATATCCCCACCCATCCAAAAAACGAAGGAAGACATTAGGCAGGGGTCTCCAAGCTTGGCAACTTTAAGCCTGGCGGACTTCAACTCCCAGAATTCCCCAGCCAGCAAAGCTAGCAAAGCTAGCTGGGGAATTCTGGGAGTTCAAGTCCGCCAGGCTTAAAGTTGCCAAGCTTGGAGACCCCTGCATTAGGCCCCTTCTGGCCAAAGCAGCCCAGTTTTGACCCCGAGGACATTGGGAGGGGAGGCAAAGTGGGGTGACTGGTTCCATCTTGAGAGGAAGACCCCCCTCCTCAAGTTAACACAGCAGCACCAGGGGGGAAGGTCAAGAGGAAACTGGTTTGAGGGTGGGGGGTGAACGGCCTCCGCAAAAGCCGGAGCAGAGTTCCGGGGGAGCCACGGGGCTCCGTCCCTCAGGTCAACCCCTGCAGGCATCACCTCTGCTGGGAGGGCGGGGGGGGTTTAGAAGGGAGGGGGACTGGAAGGCGGCGGGAGGGGGGCTTCCTGACCCCTCCCCCTCCCCGCTTCTCTTGCAGGCGCCCCGGGGCAGATCCGCGCGCCCCCCGCCCTCCTGGACTGGACCACCGTCAACCGGCACATGCCCTGGAACATCGTCATCCTCCTGGGCGGGGGCTTCGCCTTGGCCAAAGGCAGCGAGGTGAGGGGCGGGGGGCCTTCCTTTCCTTCCCCTCGTCGCCGCCGGCAGAGACCTGGCGCCCGCGGGCCGCCTGCTGGGCACCCGGAGGAACCCCCAGCGGAGCCCGCCTTCCTTCGGCCGGGGAAAAGCCCTTTCCCGCCACCAGGGGGCGCCCGAGGCCCGCCGCATCCACGCAGCGGCCGAAGTTGGGCAAGTGCGAAGGGAGCGGGGCGGGCATCGTGGCACCCTCCGCCCGGAGCAGCTGCGGAGGCGCCTCTGATGCCCGTTCCGGAGGGGCAGCGCTGCAGGTGGACTGCCTTCCCCTCTGACGGCTCCTCTCGGGGCTTTCCAGGTCTCCGGCCTGTCCGCCTGGCTGGGGAACAAGCTGACCCCGCTGCAAAACATCCCCCACCCGGCCATCACCTTCCTGCTCTGCCTGCTGGTGGCCGTCTTCACCGAGTGCACCAGCAACGTGGCCACCACCACCCTCTTCCTGCCCATCCTGGCATCCATGGTGAGAGGGCACACAGAGCCTCCCTGGCCGCCCTGAAGGATTCAGGAGGGAGGGGGAGAAGGGAGGGAGGGGAGGCTTCCAGACCAGTCAGGCAGCCAGCCCTCCCCCACCAGGCTGAGACCCTCTCTGCCCCCGCAGGCCCAGGCCATTCAGCTGAACCCCCTCTACGTGATGCTGCCCTGCACCCTCGCAGCCTCTCTGGCCTTCATGCTGCCGGTGGCCACTCCGCCCAACGCCATCGTCTTCTCCTACGGCAACCTCCGCGTCATCGACATGGTGAGCCCCATCCCTTGTGGGGGGGAAGTGGGGGGGTGAAACTGGGGTCCTTTCTTGGCCCGGCAGAAACAGCCCATCCTCCACCATCAGTGGGGCCCAATTAGCCGGGCATGAAAGCGAAAAATCTGCCCTGTCCCTTCCTTTTCCTGCCCAGCTTGTGGGCTGGAGCAGCTGCCTGCTTTCCTTCACAAAACAGCCTGAGGTAGACTGCCCTTGGATATGGAGGCTCTAGAAGCCTTTTCCTGCTGGATTCTTAAGTTGCTGTTTCTTGCCCCCCAGGTCAAAGCCGGGTTTATGCTGAACATCCTGGGCGTCCTGACCATCATGCTGGCCATCAACACCTGGGGGATCCCCATGTTCAACCTGCACCAGTTTCCAGCCTGGGCACATGTCAACGCCACCCACTGCTGACAGGAGGAAGAGGGCCCCCCGAACTCAGAGCAGCTTGCCCGGCCCTGAGCTGGTTTCTTGGGCATCCCGTTGCCTCGCCTCTGGGGGCACAACGTAGCTCAGACTGGCCCAGCCCTTGAGGATGGACATGGGTACGTTGGCACCTTCGGACACCAGCCTCCCTTGCCCTGAAGGATGCCCGGCCTGCCGTGTGCCAGTGAGCGAGAATTTATTTCCTGTCTAAACAGCTGACGGTCAGCAACCCTGGAGGTGGCCTGGCGCAAGGCTTGGGGGGCTACCAGTTTGCCCACGGGTGGAGCAGCTTCTGCAGGGCATCTCTGTGCCAGCCACAGTCATTCTCAAAGTGCCCCCTCCAGGCCAGGCCCCCAACATCTGGATGCAGCTGCATGCCCAGAACCCAGCCTGGCGTTTCGCTCTCAGCTGGGCTGCAGAGTCTCAGGCCAGGGCCGGCCCCTGGGCTCCCTCCGGACACAAGGAGACCAGAAGGCGGTCAAATAAACCGGTTTTCAGCCAGTCCTTCCTTGGCAGATGCCACTTTGTGGGAATTTCAGGGCGTTGAAAATACAGGCTGTCCTCGACTTAACAACCACAATTTCCATTGCCAAGCAAGACAGTTGCTAAGTGAGTTCTACACCATTTTATGACCTTTCTTGCTACAGTTGTTAAGTGAATCACTGCAGTTGTTAAGTCAGGAACATGGTTGCTAAGTGAATCCGGCTTCCCCATTGACTTTGCTTGTCAGAAGGTCGTAAAAGGGGAATAGCGTGACCCCCCCGGGACTCTGCGAGCGTCATAAATGTGAGTCAGTTGCCATGCGTCTGACTTCGATCATGTGACCATGGGATCAAAAGTATGAATAATGATCGTAAGTTCCTTTTTTCAGTGCTTTGAAAGTCCCTTTTTCCAGTTGTAACTTCGGTCACTAAATGAACTGTTGTAAATCGAGGACTACTGTAGCCAAGGGGGGCACAAAAGGACCTTTTCCTTCCCCCAGCTCAGCAGGAGGGAGGCCCCCCAACGGAGGTTGGGGAAAGAGACTGGGCCACGGAAACGTGCTGGGGAGGGGGGTCTCTAGCCCCGGAGGGGGAAATCGCCCCCTATTCAGGAAAGAGAATTGCTATTTGCACCCCCAACTCCCTATTGGGCATGGGGCGAGGGCTCTCCCCAGGGAAGCAGCAGGTGCCTCCAACCCTGGGCACCTTCAGAAGCCCCACTACCTGTTAGAAGATCAGCCGCCTCACCCAGAAGATCCCAAAAGGTTTGAGGTGCAGGATGAGCTTCAGCATTCGGTTCCTCCCAAGGCCTCAAAGGTCTTCAAAGAGCAGAATCCTAGGGACCTTGGAGGGCATCTAGTCCAACCCAGGGGTGAAATCCAGCAGGTTCTGACAGGTTCTGGAGAACCAGTAGGGGAAATTTTGAGTAGTTCGGAGAACCAGCAAATACCACCTCTGGCTGGCCCCAGATGGGGAGGGAATGGGATTTTGCAATATCCTTCCCCTGCCACGCCCACCAAGACCACCATGCCCACCAAGACATGCCCACAGGACCAGTAGTAAAAAAAATTGGATTTCACCACTGATCCAAACCTTCCTTCCTTCCTCTCTCCTTTCCCCTCCCTCCCTCCCTAAATCATAGAATCCTAGGGCTGGAAGATACCTCGGAGGTCATCCAGTCCAACCCCCTGCTCAAGGCAGAAGTCCTCATACCATCCCCGTTAAACGGTTCTCCAGGCTATTTTTGAAAGCCTCCAGTGATTTGATGCTGAGATGGAGAACTGGGGCCTTCTGCCAAACCCACTTTCACCAGGAGGGGGTGCTGCAGAGTTCCCAGGCACCCCATACAGAATCTACTATGGGTCGTAGCCCCAACCCACCTCTCTGCTTCCCCTTGTAAAACAGCAGGATTGGAGGGGGGCTTAAGTCCATCCCTATTTTGTTCCTTCCCCCCAGTCACCCTTTCTCCAGGCTGACCAAAAATGCTGAACAGACTCTGATTCCTGGATTTCAGAATTCCCGCACCAGGGAAGAAATGCACCTGTGTCCCTCACGTCACACCTCAGAATAACAGAGTTGGAAGGGACTTTGAAGGTCTTCTAGTCCAGCCCCCTGCTCAAACAGGAGACCCTCCACCATTTGAGACAAGTGGCTGTCCAGTCTCTTCTTTCAAACCTTCACTGTTGGAGCACCCACGGACTTCTGGAGGGAAGCCGTTCCATTGATTAATTGTCCTCACTGTCAGGAAATGCCTCCTTCGTTCCAGGTTGCTTCTCTCCCTGATCAGTTTCCATCCTTCCACTGCTTCTTGTCCTGCCTTCTGGGGCTTTGAAGAATGGCTTGACCCCCTTCCTCCTCTCTGTGGCAGCCCCTCAAGACTGCTCTCCTGTCTCCCCTGGTCCTTCCCTTCCCTAGACTAGCCAGGCCCAGTTCCTGCAACCGTTCTTCGTATGTTTTAGCCTCCAGACCCCTAAAATCATCTTTGTTGCTCTTCTCTGCACTCTTTCCAGAGTCTCAACATCTTTTTTTACATTGTGGTGACCAATACTGGATGCAGGACTCTAGGGGTGGCCTTACCAAGGCTTTATAAAGTATTAACACTTCATGTGATTTTGATTCTATGCCTCTGTTTATACAACCGAGGATTGCATTGGCCTTTTTGGCTGCTGCCACACACGGCCCACTCATATTTAAGGGATTGCCCACTAGGACTCCAAGGTCACTCTCACAATTACACATCCACCCACGAGACCGAAATGAGGACCCAGATTATTGGGGGCAAGAGGCTGATTCTGTAAACCACTTAGGCAGTGGCGAAATCCAAATTGTTTTACTACCAGTTCTGTGGGTGTGGCTTGGTGGGCGTGGCAGGGGAAGGATCCTGCAAAATCCCCATTCCCTCCCCACTCCGGGGCCAGCCAGAGGTGGTATTTGCAGGTTCTCCAAACTGCTCAAAATTTCCCCTCCTGGTTCTCCAGAACCTGCTGGATTTCACCCCTGCAGTTAGGGCTGCCAAGCAGTGTGAAGTCTCAGTGCTATTAGAGTTTGGGGCAGAAATTGGCTCTCTTTGAGGAAGAAGAGGCTGACACGCTTAGTGGCGGTCATTGGGGGACCCCTAAAGGCTGCAGGGGGCATTTTTCCCTTCACCCTGGAAAAGCCGCATCCGTTTCTCCCCTTCACAGGTATGCAAACCAAGCCTTTGCCTCCTCCCTCCCTAGACGGTGCTGGGCACGGTTGTGGCTTCACTCCTCTGCAGGCTGTAAAAGCAGTCCTTGACTTACAACCATTCATTTAGTGACTAAGGTTACAACGACGCTGAAGAAAGTCATTTTTGTCTGATTTTCACACTTATGACTGTTGCAGCATCCTCGTAGTCACGTGATCAGAATTCAGATGCTTGGCAACTGGCATGGATTTATGACGGTTGCAGCGTCCGGAGGTCGCAGAATCCCCTTCTGCGACCTTCAGATAAACAAAGTCCATGGGGGAAGGCTGATTCACTTAACGCCTGCACAATTCGCTTAACGACGGCATCAAGGAAGGTCGTAGAAGAAGCGAGGGAAATCCTAAGCAGAACTGTCAGTCAGGGCACAGCTCTCTAACAACGGTCTTGCTTAGCGGTGGAAATTTTGGAGTCCCTTGTGGTCACAAGTCGAGGACCACCTGTCCCACTTCAGGGAAGGGAAGTGGTCAGGAAGAAGGAAGGCTCCTCCTGCCGAGGGCCGATGGAGGGGGCAGAAGCCTCTTCGGAGCAGCCTCTGCCAGGCCAAGGACGACAGAGGAGTTGCAGGGGCCCCCCCACCACAGCCCTGGGCTGCAGGGCCTGTCCTGACGAGACTTGCAGAGGATTCCAGAAGGTTCCCTCAAGTTGCCGTGTGTCCCCCAGAGCGCCCCTTGACTTGTGCCTCATCTTCTGAGGCGGAGGACCTTCCCCCGTGCAGGAGACAGGCCTCCATCAATCATTCCTCTCCCAGGGAGCAGCTCCCCCCAACCCTCCCCCACTGGCTGGCCCCACTTCTCACACCTGGTGCTTCCCTTTCCTTTCTTCATGGCGCTCTGCTCTCCTTAAGCTATTCCATTGGCCCATATTGCAAAAGGGGCACCGGATGGTAACAACACATTAGAGCAATCAAACTCACAGTTCATATTAGCCAAGAGTAGTAGAGTTGCTTTGGATAACAATTTGGGTGCCTTATAAGTTAAATAGATAGTAGATAATATATGGATGGATGGATAGATATAGATATATAGATATAGATAAAGATAAATAAGAGAGAGAGATACAGAAAGAGATGAGAGATAGAGATAGATAGATGATAGATATAGTTTTATAGAGAGACGGGGAGGGGGGAGGGAGGAAAAGATTCATGATAGATGATGGATGATGGATGGATGGATGGATGGATGGATATACATACAGACTAGGGGAGAGAAAGAGAGAAATAAAAAACCCAGTAATGATCACCAAGGATGAACCCTAACAGAGACCCCTCAAATACAATGTTTGTGCTTTAGGGAGAATTAAATCCAACCCCTTCCCTCCTTCTCCCCACCAGTTGATCTCAATCCTTTATTCCAAGGATCTCCCAACTTGCCAGCTTTAAGACTTGTGGACTTCCACTCCCACCTATGCTGGTTGGGGAATTTTGGGAGCTGAAGTCCACAAGTCTTAAAGCTGGCAAGGTTGGGAAACATCCCCCCCCCACTTTATTTCATGAAATCGAGAGAGCTCCCCCGACTGACATTTATTCCACTGAATAAATGTGTGAGTGTAAAAAGGCCTCAGATTCCTGTTGGCTTTTTCCTACCATAATAAACTATCCCAGTTTTCCTACTACTCGTTTCTCCGAAAACAAGATCCTGTCTTATATTTTTTTGACTCCTGAAAGAAGTGCTTGGCCTTATTGCCATGCGCTCCAAAGCCCGATTGGGCTTATTATCAGGGGGTGTCTTATTTTGGGGGAAACAGGGCACGTGGTTTTATTCAGGGTCCCAGAAACATTTTCCTACGTTTCTTTTGAAATTACAAACCACGTGACCAGCAAGTTTCTTTCTTTCTCAAATTGTGAGCAGGTTGACACCCACATGCAAGGACCCCACTGGCATCCACAACTGGGCACAGCTGCCAGCG